GTGTGTGTGTGTGTGTGTGTGTGCGTGCATGTGTAACCAGACAGACTGTAATTCATCAGTATAAGTCTGTTTCTTAGTTCCTCATTTCAAAAATAGGAAATAGGAAATGCTGCTAGCTTTTGATCAGAGCATTTGAGCAACTTCACACTATGAATGCCTCAGTGGCTCTTTTTCAGGAAATGTTTGACAGGAAATACACTCATTTTAACACATTCACATACTGGTTAATAGTATTTCTTGGTCAGGACATTTGGGCTTATTCTGTGCTCCCTCATTTCCAGACAACGAAAACGGTAACTACTGTCAATATTTTCTTTTTTGCATGGGCCGCTGCTTGTCAGGTAGTTTATGTTCATGTGTGCATGTTCTGTGTATGAAACTAAGCCTGTCAGTTACAGTTTTTTGTATTATAACTAAATAAAATTACAAAAAAAGTTATTTTACGGTGATCCTGTATTAAATTTCATGTTAATGACAATAAAGATGACTTCTATCCTATTTACAAAAGGAAGGTCCCCTTAAGACAGTGTAAGCATACAATATAATCCTGCTTACAAACAAACAAACAAACAAACAAATTCAAACAAATCTTTGGCAGAGTTAATTGCGTAATTGCAGTCAAAACAGTCCAGCTACTGTACCTGGTGATACTTGATTTCCATGGCAAAAATTCTTACTGTTAGCATAGGAGTCCTCCTGTCATGTAATTAATTATAATAGTGAACCTGGTATAGAGCTGATTTTTAAAGAAATTTCAAACACATCTACATGTACTATATTTCAAATTTTTGTTTTGGCACTGACCATAATGAATGGAAGTCAATGCAGTGTGCTAACAAAGATAGCTTTGCAAACTGATTAGTGTGTGTGTGTGTTTAGGAAACACTGTATTTATGGCTGGGAAAGCAGCAGCTCAAGGCAGAGAGATAAAACACAGTGAATGCAGTAGGCGTTTAAATATTGATTTGACAGCAGCAAATTGCTTGGAGGTACAGTATTGTCTAAAGTTATTGAAATGTCAAAATTCATTTATGTGATCGCTTCAGTTTATTCATCACAGCTGTCCTCACTGAGCTGTTGCTTACTGTCAGGCAGAATTGCGTCATGTGAAGGCTCGGAGCTGGTGCTCTCTGCTATTTGTGAATTAAAGCCTAGGATAAAGTGACATGTGAAAACTTGAAAAGGAAATCCAGAGACTTGGACAGTTTGAACGCAATCATTATACATTTTTTCATGTCCTAAGACATGCTGGATTTGAAAAATAAAACCTAGAGTGGATGGTATGTTAAGAGAGGATTGATGGAAAGGGAGGGTAGGCTTCGTGTGACGCTGACATTGAATCAGCTTATGCAGCATTCAAGTGTATGGTAGAGAGAAATGGGTGCCAATACGTGTTGTGTCAATGACACTTCCTCCAATGGTTGGTGTGGTTGTGCTAAATTCAAGTGCAGATTTTGTGATGGCTGCTCAGAAGAAATGCTCGAAGTAAAGAAATTGTAAACATTTTTTGGATTCATATATGTCCAGCCCTAGATGTGCATGTTTTCTGAATACACAATCCATAGTTAAAGCTTTGTATAGACACTAAAATGAGCTATTGAAAATGACAGGGCTCATCAAAATGACTAAACTGTGCTGGGATCTTACTGTCAAGACATTAACTTCCTCTTTTACTTCTCTTCTCACAAACACTGTTGTTTGTCTGTAAATTAGCAGGATAACGCAAGAACTATTGGAAGGATTAACATGAAACTTGGTGGACTGATGCGTTGGATCAGGAAAGAACCACTTCAATTTTGGTAGGGATCCAATGAAATGGGCACATCCAGGAATTTTGTGTCAATTGTGTCATGTGTTTCCCACATGATTCATGCAATGTTGGTTGTGGGGGTGCATGTGCATGCACAGGGATGATGTTTCACGCAACCTGCACAGACTATAGAGTGGAAGACAGGTTCTTGCCTGAGAAAGAGAACTACATTGCAATCCACTTACGGGTAAGCGCCCAGCTGCCACTGAAACTAGGATGTGTCTGCATGGAAGGTAAAAAAACGTTATGGGCGATAGCATAAGCATATAGAAAATAGTGCTGAGTTCACACTGTTAGTGCTTTTTTCTTTTTTTAGTTGTTCCTCTTGAAAACCTGTCTGAGAGTGTATGCATCACTTTTAACTTTTAACACTCTTAATGTTGATGTGTTTTTCTCTCTCTCACAGGTTGTGTAAACCATGATCTAAAGCTTTAAAGTCTGCATTTTGTCCGCCGACGTGGACCAGCCCTCACGCATGCCTCACTCACACACATCTATCATGTCTCAGTCTGAGTGTTGTTCAGATGTATGGGACTGGTTATGTGTACTTCGTCTGGAGCAATACTCTGAGGCATTTCATAATGCTGGGCTGGCAACAGTGCGGCAATGTCGCAACCTCACACCAGATCAGCTGGAGCGGATAGGCATCACCCTGCCGGGTCACCGGAGACGCATTCTGGCTAGCTTGAACAAAACACATGGTAATCGAGACACGCAATCTGACACACACGGTCAGCCTCTAATGTCTGAGAGGGATCAGCGATCTGAGGAAACAAGACATCCGAAAGTGTTACACAGAAAGACACCTGTACCTCTACCCGTGGAGGAAAAATCTATCCAAACAGAGAAAGGAGATGGAGAGACATTGAAACCTACTCCCAGAGAAAGAGAGAAACCAGTCCCTAAGGAGAGACAAGTGTCCAGAATGAAAGAGGAAAATGAAGAAGGAGGAGAGAAGAAGTCGGTTCCTGAGCAAAGACAAACAGCACCTAGACAAAGCAAAGAAGAAGAGGGGGACAGAGGGCTAGATGGAGAGAGGGAGAAACCTGTGCCTAAAGAGAGGACTAAATTTCGCTCTAGTGCTCCAGTGGACTGCCCCCATGGCCCCCGTGTCTCTCCTACTTCTGACACCCCTTTACCCCCTGTCCCTCCACGAAGCACCCCCAACTGCCCTCCACAGCGCTTTACGTCTGCCCTGTGCCCCTCACCTCCTGCTCAAACCCCTGTCTCCCCTAAACTAGACAGACATGATGTTAAAGCTCCAGCTGCACCGAGCGTTCCCGATTGTTCAACCCCCACCAGAACCCCTACCCATACTTCTTCACCAACACGGCCACAGACATTAGCCATTCAGCCAGCTGCCCAACATCTGGATGGAGGACGAAAAAGGTCATCTGTTTCTCCCATTGCTTCTCCCAGCCACAACAGAAATGTTCCTCCTCTCCCTCCAAAAGTGGGGGGAGCACCTAAAGGGCCTCCACCAATCCCGCAGAGGTGTCTTGCACAGTCTCCCAGAGCTCACAGGTAAGACTTTCAGTGAACTTATTACACATACAATGTTTTACTCATGGAGCTTTCAACATCAATACCAGCAAGAGCAGAGTGAAGGGGTGTGCAGCCCCTTTCCTATTTTTGTGCATTCAAAAATACTTTTCTTTCCTCTCACATTAATTTTATCCATCATTTTCAAATTATTTTTGGTGATGTTAGTCCCCTTCTTTCATGGTTTAAATTAGCCTGAACCTGTGCCTGTGTGCTCCCAAAGGTTGAGGTAGTTTATCAAATCAGAATGAAAAAGAGTAATGTAATTGATTGTCAGTTGTGTGTTTTAGAATTTGAATTGAGAAATATTCAGGAAGCTCACCTTTGTTCCATTTCAGAGGATAGTGCTGCCCTCTATTGGACAAGATTGTAAAATGCATCACTTTTCAAATTTAAGTTAAAATTGTTTTTAATAATACAACTTTATCTCTATTGCACTTATATGAACAAGTTTACAAAGGGCTTTAGAAAATAAAATTACACAGAACAAAGCAAGACAAAAAAAGGAAGATAACTTAAAAGAAAAGCATTATACCAGTTAAAAAACCAGTATTCAAAATATTTCCAATAAAAATATGTGCAAGCAACGATTTAAAAACACTTAAGGTGCTGTTAATTGGTACTGATGTCAAACGCCTGGTCACTCTTACATAGTTACTTGCCCTGACTAGCCCTAACTATACTACCAAGTGTTGGTTAGAAGTTCTTAGAAACAGATATTGTTATTGACACTTCCTGAAATCAAAATTACATTGATACTGAAAAAGTGAAGCACATGGACTGGTTGAGTGGACCTAAAACTCAGTGGCCTATTTGAAAACACAAATATGTGAAGAAGTTAGTAAGGCTGTATGAAGTTTGTGTTGTAGTTGCATATGTCTGACCACTTGAGGGTGTGAACTGTTCATGTGTGTATAGTTTTGCGTGTGTTTAGTTTTAGCCTATTCTTAAAGGTCCAGTGTGTAAGATTTATGTGAAAGGCATCTATTGGCAGAAATTTAATGTAGAATAATCCTAGTGATGTTTTTACTAGTTTGTTTCATCTAAATTGTATGAATTGTAGTTTTCTTTACCCAAGAAAAGGCCCTTTATATTTAAATACTTTATATTTACATGAAGGGGACCCTCTCTATGGAGGCCGCCATGTTTTTGACATTAGTCCAGACTGGACAAACTAAACACCTTTTGAGTTTTTATGACAACTGAAGCTACCACAGGTTCTTTTTCATGTTTGGAAGGAGAGGGTGAGGTGAGGGGTGTTCAGCTGCAACATGCAATTTCAACACTAGATATCACAAAATTCTACACACTGTACCTTTGTAACTATTGTGTACACACATTGAATATGTTTCACTGCAGCATTGGGTTTGCCAGCCTTGCTTCATGCTTTTTGACTTCTGTTATGAGTAACATGAGCATGCTCTGTGCCGCTTCTTTTTTTTTTTTTTTTTCAAAAAGAGAAACTGGGTGTAGAAAGAAGGGAAGTTACAATGGAGAAGAACACAGAGTGGTTTAAAAACCCTCCTCCTCATTAGCATCTTTGATATAGCAGAAAAAAGAGAGTAAGAGATAAAAAAAAAAGTGATTTATTTTCAGGAACAACCTTCAGATTATATGTGAACAGCAAATAATCACATTCACTTGTTGCTCTGGTGTTTCCTCGTCAGTGCACTCTTTGCCTCCTCCCATTTCTAGGTTAACCTGTCATTTCCTCCTACTTTTTTTTTGCTTCTCCCCTCTCTTCTGCGATGTGTGTTTGTGATTGTTGTAACATCACTGAAGCGGACTCCTTTTAAATATGTCGAGACAGGTAAGGCTGGTATCTACAAGTATCTACCACCCTCTACAAGTCTCTTCTCTGACTCTACTTGTTTTTTAGAAGGTGCTCAACCTCCTTCTCTCTTCACTCTGTTCTCTCTGTGTCAATGTTTCAAAAAAGGAAGCTTGCTTCACTGCAGTGATCATGTTTTCTGCTGTTGTGATGTGCTGCACTATTTTTTTTTATTATTATCTGTTAGGTGCTGTCAGTGAGACTTGTATCATGTTTACATGAGTTTATTTTACTTTTATCAGAGTAAGTGTAAGTTAGCTCTGTCCTAGGGCTGTACACGTCGGAGAACTGACACTGGTACTGACATTGGTGAGTTACTTGACTGTCTGTGAAGATAAAGTAAAATAAGATTTAGGTAAGGCATCCTTGGTGTCATTAATTGTCATTGAGGTCTTAACTGCTTTTTACTTTATTATTATCATTCCTTATTGTCAATTACATACTGACTGTTTCTATAGACAGTGTGGACTAAATTGGGCTTGCTCTGAAGTCACAAACTGCACTGTTGCAAGATGTGCCCCTCGTGCATTGACACCATTGCTCAAGGGGTAGCTGTTCTCGGTTGATCTTGGGGTAAAATGACTAATTTCCCAGAATTCTTACGTACACGTTGAGTGTGGGGGAGAAAGGAATAGTCATTGTTTCTTCAGTCTATGCTATCATCTGTAAGCTAGCAGAGAGCAAGTTATATATAGCAGGCCACTAGCTCTCTTCCTCTGAGAAGGAGGAACTGTATCAATAGGTTAGCTTCCTGTCTTTGTGGGTCTTCTGTATCCCTGTATTTTTAATGTATTTTTAAACAGAACTAAGTAATAACTTGGAATATTTATAGCTGTAAATTAAAGTTTAGAAGTCATTAAAGTCTACATTAGTCTACATCAGTCATCAAGTCATTTCATGTAGTGGAACATTTGAAATGTTTTGTTTGAATGCTGCTTTAAAGCCAGCATGTCAAATCTGAGCAATCTACAACCTGCTATCTTTAACAATAACAACACTATCAGGTTATTGAAGTTATAAAGTGAAGTACTTTAACCTCAATGCTCTGCCATTGTGAGAACTTTCACATACACGTCTTAAAGGTCCAGTGTGTAAGAAATTGAATGTAGAATAATCCTTATGATGTTTTCACCAAGTTGTTTCATCATAATTGTATGCATTGTAGTTTTCTTTACCCTAGAAAAGGCCATTTATATTTAAATACTCAAGTATTTACATCGAGGGGGTCCACTCTACGGAGGCTGCCATGTTTTTTACATTAGTCCAGACTGGCCAAACTAAACACCTATTGAGTTTTTATGACAACTGAAGGCTACCACAGGTTCTTTTTCATTTTTTGAAGGAGAGGATGAGGTGAGGGGTGTTCAGCAGCAACATGTGACTTCAACACTAGACATCACAAAATTCTACACACTGAACCTTTAATGTTCCACTTTGAATTATCATTCAATTATATTCTCAACTGAAAGAATATTTTTTCTACTACTATTGGACTCAAGGTTGGAGCATATAATAACTACAAAAAGTAAGGATTTGTGTGGACACAGTGTCACATTGTGTCAAGCTTAAAATACTGTTTCGCAGTGTTTTGTTACTGATATCTTACGATTTTTATTCAAAATGTTCATGGTTGAAATGAGAGGGAAATATACAGATGGAGTAATAAAGAGGAACTTTCTCAATCCTGAATGGACAGAAACCCTGCATGTTTGCTCACTCTTGACGTTCCCTGTCATCACACAAAACCACAATAATTAGTGTTGTTTTTTAGGGAGTTTTTTGCATGGCCAGATTTATGATGTTTCTTGGCTTGTCTGTTTGTCCATCTTTCTCATTCTGATGAATTCCATATCTCAGGAGCACTTCAGAGGAATTCCTTCAAATTTACCACAAACATTTACTTGGATTCAAAGGTGAACTAATTTCATTTTGTTTCTCAAAAATCGAGGTCACTGTGACCTCACCAAACCCATTATTGGAATATCTTAAGAAAACCTAAGGTAATACCTTAAAATGTGTCACAAACATTTACTTGGATTTAAAAATGAACTGATTACATTTTGTTCATCATAGATCAAGGACAAAACTTGTTTTTTAAACATAGCTCAATAATAAATGTGCTACATTTTATGACACATTTTCAGAGAAATGTGTGATTTAATAAAATGATGACATGATGACAATTTCTATCCCAAAGGTCAACTTCAACTTTTCTGGCTATTTTTAACACCATAACCCAGAAACGGGGGAAGGGGACTGTGGGACATTGTGACCATATTTCCTGTAGCTCGTCTGGTTGACGGAGGTATACAACCACAAGGCATTAAATCTAAAGCCATTTAAGGAGAGAATGAGTGGACTGAGCTGAAGTAATGTCTGCTGCATCAATTTGTTATTCTCTTCTAAGGATAGGGGTAATGATCCTATGTGAGTGTGTTGCATTGAGGAAGACATGATTGTGCAGCAGTTTTGATTCATTGTTCCAGTTCAGAGGTGATGTGGAAGAGTTTCCATGCATAATGAAGTAGTGAAAAAGAGTCAGTGCTCTGGGTTTACTGTCTTCAGATTCTTAAACTGTTGCACTCCTCGGTCAGTGCCGCCACAGGTTGTTTCAAGTTGTACATGAAAAAGGGAGTTAACCCCCCCCTGTGTTGAGTGTCAGTGTTTCCCTAACAGCTTGCTCTACACCTCAACCCAGAAATAAACAAGCCTCAAGTGTCATATAAGTCTTACTCTCTTGAGTGTGAGAACTTTGTGATAAGTGTTTCCTTCTCAGTGTTGACTTCAGAACTAAACAACGCAATGTGCTCGCTCAACACTAGTTTAGTCTTTGTCATAAAATTCTTGCTCCTTCACTTTAAATCTTATGACTTTGAAGCTGCAAACTAACAAATAATAAGTTGGATTTTCATTGAAAGTATTAGCCAGCATAGTTAGAGATAGAAAGATAATTTACATGGTAAAAGCGGTACCCATAAGGTTTATCGAAATAAAACAGCTTGTAAAGACAGGAGATGTGTGCTGCTATCATACAATAAGTTTGCCCTCTCATCTGTAGTGCACACACTGTTTGTGTGTGTGTTCAGGGGGGATACAGAGGTATGCGGTGTTTACATAGAGATGGTATCTTGCAAAGTGGTGCAGGTTCAGACTTGCTTCTGAAGTCATAGGTATAGAGAGAACACAGTCAGGAGGAGAGCAGAGGGACGCCAGTTTGGTACAGTTTTGGGATCAATTCACTGACCACTGAAGAGAGTTCAGAATCGAAGCAGCAGTCAATAATGTGGACTCAATCTGGTTACAGGAAATGTTAACCAGAAGGATTCAATTCTGTTATTTTTCTACATGTATTCCTTAGAGAGATGTAACTGTGCTTCTTGCACATGGATTTTTTTGGTTGCCTCAAGTAAAATCTCAAATGAAGTTATTTTTGTAGTTTTAACCTTGGAATGAGAAAAAAGAAGGCTGGTGGGTTTGTCAAAGGGGCTGTCCACCCAGCAGAGGATGTATAGAATCACCCGTCTGTGTGGGATTTTCACCCGATCTCCAATCGACATGCTGTCTGAGGACTCATCTCCTGATGTCCAGACCTCTGTTGACCTGTCTTGTATGCCTTTATCCCTCAGTGCCTCTCCAAAGACAGTCACAGATGAGATGCAGAAAGACCAAACTCCACAGGTCCCCCCTCGGATCAGGACACCCCAAACTCAAGACAACACACAACATTCAACTCAACCTGACACTCAGCTGGCTCTGCACATCAGGACTGTCTCCAGACCTTCCTGTGAATTCAGTAAGTAGAATAATACACATTAAATCCTTTCTTAGTGTTACATTTGTTATGTTATGTATTTATTAGATAGAGAGCTTTAGACTACTTTTTTCTGAGTGAAATGTCTGACCCATGCCCGAAGCCTCACAGTGAAAAAAAGCGTTTTAATTTCATTTTAAATTAAAGAAATGAAAGAGAGACATACAAATCCTCTCAACCAGAGGTATTTAAAAGGTATTCACACCATTATGTCCCTTGACTTAATTTTTCCTGTCCGTGTTTTAAAATCATGAATATGGATTGATTACACCAGAATTAGATGAGTCTGATTACTTTAGCTATCTGTTAGCATTATGCAGCAGTTGGTACAGTTTTTAGGCTCACCTAAAAGTAGATTTTCACAATACTATGCATTAATACATTTCACATTACTCTCATCAGCCTCTTTAATTTACTTTTAAGGTCTATGTACTTTCTAATAGATCAATAATACAGAGATCAGCTCATCAAAACAATACTACACAATGCTAACAGGTCATAAATCTGCTCAGGTAACCTAATGGTATGTCTGTTGGATCAAGATTTTCATCAAAACTGCAGTTAAAACTGTAATTGCTTACTTACTAGTTATTTCCAGTCTGTGCAATCAGAAACTATTCAGACCTTTTTATTATGTTTCCACCTTATGCTAGAATAATTTTAATTAATTGTTAGATTTTTCATCAATCTACACTCAAAATCTCATAATGGAAAAATGAAAACTAAATTTAAAAAATGGTTTGTTGCTTTATTGAAAGCAAAAACTGAATTATCACATATGACATCAGCCACTTCTCCCCGAATTCCCTAGTTTGGCTTAGCAGCAATCTCCAGGATGACACATTTTTTCTGAACTCTTTCATGTAAGGACTTTGCAGCAGAATTGTTTGCCTCTAATGAATCCTGTCGCTCTGATCATGCGACAGAGCGACAGGATGTTGCTCTGATCATGTCCAACCAGTTAACTTGATTTAGTTCACTCACTCAGGTGGACTCCAATTAAAAGGTAGACATGTCTAAAAGATGATCAGGAGAAATTAGCTAGATTTCAAGTGTCACAGGAACAGCTCTAAAGAGATTATGTATATATCATTCTGCAGGTTTACTAGCAAAACAAGCTGAAACTGGACAGCTTAGTTCTCATCTTCTGCTCCTTTCCTTTAGGTCAGAACTCACTTGATGACAACTCTGATGATTACGAGGATCCAGACTTTATTAACCCACGTGTTTATAGTATGAAAACCCCAGACAGGGTAAGAGTAAGAATATTTCCGTCTGTAACGCTCACCTTCCCCATCTCCTGCACAATGTGACTGACATCTGTCTCCTCCAATAGGATATGTCCCTGCAAGTACCTGGTGGAATAAAGGGGCGGTACAGTTCTTTGTACAGTGATGATGAACTATTGGATGATGATGAGTAAGTCATGCATGAACTCATCAGGAAAAAAAGGCATTAACATAAGCACAACATACTTAAGCTGTTCACAAGTTAAACCAATGAGCAACCGCAGACCATTGCATGCACCATTAGTTTTTTTATTTACCCCAAGCATATTTGATTAACTCGGAATTAAATAATATCAAACATTCGAGTTTCTTTGTGTAAAGTCCCTCTTCAGTGTATTAAAGGTCCAGTGTGTAAGTTTTAGGTGAAAGGGAACTATTGGCAGAAATTGAATATAAAATAATCCTCATGATGTTTTCACTAGTTTGTTTCATCTAAATTGTATGAATTGTAGTTTTCTTTACACCAGAAAAGGCCCTTTATATTTAAATACTTTGTTTTTACATCAAGGGGACCCTCTCTACGGAGGCCACCATGTTTTTTACATTAGTCCAGACTGAACAAACTGAACACCTTTTGGGTTTTTATGACAATTAAAGGCTACCACAGATTCTTTTTCATGTTTGGAAGGAGAGGGTGAGGTGAGGGGTGTTCAGCTGCAACATGCAACTTCTACATACTGTACCTTTAAAGGTTTATCATGAAAAAAGTTCCCTTAATGGCCTTAATATAAATGTCCTTATTTATTGACTGGGATCTTTGAATATTCTAATATGGCCCAGCTGCAAATGTTGACAGGATTGTTCATATAATTGTGACATCACAAATCCTGGCAGTCTGAAACAAGCTCAAGTGGACATGTCGTTCATAGTTGATTTTATCATTGGAGGACTGTAATAGCGTTAAAGTCTATTTGCTTTGTTTTTTCTTCCAAAGTTCTACCCCATGGAATGACAGTGGCCACAGTACCTTACAAAGCAGTGTTTACTTGCCTGCCACTGGCAGACTGGCTTCAGTCAATAAAGAAGACAGCTCTCAGCAAGCTGCTGTCATCAAGATGGGCTGGCTGGACAAGAATCCACCTCAGGGGTATAAATGGCAACAAATACACATACAAACTGACACTCTGCCATGTTCTCTGCATACTCTGCATATTCCATAAACCCTTCAATTAGATATAACAATGAAACAATAATAAAACAGAAATAGTGACGCACCTGCCTACTAATGCAGTGCTGCTTTTCCAGTTCTTGTCAAACCAGTGTATTTATAGAGCACATTTTAAGGCAACTAATCTTTCGCAAAGTGCTATAAATTTTTTTAAATATATTATCTTTTTAAATTTAAATGTTATTTAAGATAACTGCAGACTATTAAACGTGGTGTTTTTGGGCCAGATCTGATCATGTAGATTAATAAAAGTCTAAATTTGAGGCCACGCCACTGACTCGTTCTTCAAAGAAAATCATTCTTAAACATTTTTCAATGGGGTGTGATCAAACCATTCAGCCATTTGCAAGAAACATTTCACTGATAAGTGTGCCAAGTTTTGTGAGTTTTCAAAAAAATTGAGTTCTATCAAAAATGTTTTTTTATAAAAATTATAATTGCATAACAATCCGATGATGTGCTAAAGAAAATGTGGGAATCCAAAAAATGATTATGTGCTTTTTTAAATGTTTGTGTGTCTGTCCTCACATACATTATATACAGAGCTCTTTATTACCAGCGACGATGGGTAAAACTGGATGTTGACTACCTGAGATACTTCGAAAATGACAAGGTAACAACACACACACAAATGCAAACTCATTGCATGATGAATGGTAGATATGAATCTGTAAAACTGCTGTGTGTATGGTGTGTTGCAGGAAGTTTATTCCAAGGGGATCATCTCAACAGCCTTCATTACTAATGTGACCAGTGTGGGAGAGCTCAAGTTTGAGGTCGCCACAAACAACCGAACATTTATCTTCAGGGCTGAAAGTGAAGGTCTGTCAGTTTTTGTCTGATTTATTTACACTGTAATATGTCATGTTCCTGTCTTTTACTTATGCAAATATACACATTCCTAGGCCATATACGTTTTTGCATGTATATTTTACAAACCGTGTTTATACATGTGTTTGATTTATCCAGCTGAGAGAAACGACTGGGTGACTGTACTACAGGACTGCAACAGGGGGCGCCATCGCCGCAACACCATGAGCCCTGGCTCGCTTTCGTCCCCAGAATTTCAGGGCTATTTGGAGCTCAAAGGGTTACGTCCCAAACTTTACACTGTCATCGCCTCAGATAAGGTCTACCTCTTCAAAAACATAGACGTAAGGATCCTGCTGCGTTTGATGTGTGCAGAAAAGATATGTGTGTACAAATCACAGTTTGTTATGTGATTTGATCTTTATTTTGCAAAATCAATTTTTTTAAATAAAAAAACATTCCAAAATCATAGTTTTGATGAAAGTCTTTTTAAAGCAATATGAGAACATTGTTGTACTTAAAATATATCTGTTGATACTTAATGGAGGACAACAACATAGTGGAAATGATGTACCTTGTTTTTCTTTCAGGACTATCGTATTGGAGTTGGCATTACATCTATTGAGATGAATGTGGGAAATATTAAAGACTCTGAACGTCGTAACTTTGATCTCACCACACCCTACCGCATATTCAGGTACTGCATGTACACACAAATGCAACACACACATGAACACCGCAGACACTCCAAGACTCATTCTGCTGTGTGTATACAGTAGACTTAAAGTCTAAGTCTAAGTTTAAAGAACAACACTGTTCAAGTCAGTCCCTGAGTCGCTCTTGTTGCTTGGATAGTCATGGGAAATTAGATCATGATGTTTTACTGAGAATTCCCACCGTCAGTCTGTCCTTAGAGTCCTCAGCTGGACATCTTTCGAGAATGTGAAAAGCCCTTTGTATGAGTGTGTCTGTGTGTGTGTGTTTGTCTGTGAAGAAGAGCGACGTTTGTGTGTTTGCACAAGTGCATGTGTTGTTGTGGTGTGTGTGGTCTCTTGGCTGACAGCGCACAGCCTGTAGTGCAGTGGCTCAGCTTGACAGGATGGAGCAATCTGAAAAGGCTTGTGTGTTTGTATTGAGCTGGACCATGTGTCAGTGTGTGTCTTGGTCTCAGTCTGCATTGACACCAGTGTGTATGTGTCTCTGCATGTGCAGTTTTTGTGTGTGGTGAATCTACTTTAGATAATTCAGGAGGGAGCCAAGAGGATTTTGTAAGTTTGTGTTTTTGACTTATGTTTTGATTTAGACAATTTTGTGATGCTTGTCAATGTTTGTGTGTGTGTGTGTCTGTGAGTGTGTGTTTGTGTGGTGTGTGTGTATTTTAAGCAAAAAGGGAAGCAAGGATGAGAAGAGGAAGGATTCAGACATGAGTCTGCGTCAAGCCACAAATCCTTCTGTGTGTGTATATGTGTGTATGTGCTTGTGTAGTTTCCAGTCTTTGACTCAAGTATATTTTGCTAAAGAGGAGCAGAGTAGGAGTCTGTTCTCAGGGGACTCATAAGGACACACACACACACATGCACAGCTGGCACAGGCCTTCTCATTTCTGTCTGCTGTTGACTGTGACACTGTCATGTCGGCACTAAAGCCTAGTTTATGCTTCTGCGTCACGTCGACGCCGTAGCTACGGCGTAGGTACGGCGTAGACGTGACGCAGAAGCATAAACTAGGCTTAACACTCGACCGTGTCTTTGTCTCTGTTCGTAGTTTCATAGCAGAGTCAGAGCAGCTGAGGGAGCAGTGGGTGGATGCCATGCGGAATGCCATAGGTGAGGCGCTGTCAAATAGCGAGGTGGCGGAATGGATCTGGGTGGAGCCAAGCAACAGTGCGTGCGCTGACTGTGGGGCTCCCAAGCCGGAATGGGCTGCCATCAACTTGTGCGTGGTAATCTGCAAACGATGCGCAGGTTGGTGTGTTTGGATTTTTGTTTTTATGTGTTTTTGCTCTGGGTTGCAGTAACACCCATGGGGATGTACGACAAATATAATTTAGCCCAGTGTAAAAACTTTTTTAAATGGTTCCAGCCAACTTGTTGCAGAATTTCATAGTTCTACACGGTCAGGATGTAATTGCTGTGTTTGTGTGTGTATTTCAGGAGAGCACAGAGGACTGGGTCCTAGCATCTCCAAGGTCCGTAGTCTAAAGATGGACAGAAAAATCTGGACAGAGGAGCTTGTAAAGGTACATGAAAGCACGTACACACAAACACGCACGCAGACACACTCGAATCCTAAAACCTGAAGGACCTGGTTAATGGGTTATTGCAGTCAGCTTTCATTTTCTTTTACTTGTTTATGACTGAGGCATTAAGCTGCTTAAACTCTCATAGAGCTGCAGGTTTATTCATACAGAGGTTCCTTTTTATGAGGTTAACTTATATAACATAATACGGTAATTCTGTAATATCAAGTTTTTGTTGACACTGTGTCACAGGTTTGGATTCATCTTTGAGGTGTTATCTGTGGAAGTAGTTAGAGGTGGTGGTATATTGATTTACACACATATGAGTTGAGAATATTACTGATTAAAGACAGACATTCTTAATAAACTGCACAGTGTATATTATTAGAACATGCAACTGACCACACGTCTCCTCCCATTCATAATGTGGAAATAATCATCCTGGACCCTATCTGTGATGCAGGTGTTCCTTTTGCTTGGCAATGAGCGGGCAAACAGTTTCTGGGCAGCCAACGTCCCACCTAGCGAGGCTTTGATGCCCTCTAGCTGCAGTGAAGACAGGCGACGTTTCATCACCAACAAATACCGGCAGGGAAAATACAGGAAGTACCACCCTCTGTATGGAAACCAGAAAGAACTCAACAATGTAAGTTGAAATCCGTGTCGATCATTTGCTTCAGTCTGTATTACATTACATAACATTATATTTAGCTGACGCTCTTATCCAACCGACTTACAATAAGTGCATCAACCATGAGAGAACAAACCCAGAACAACAGGTATCAAGTGAGTACAATTTGCTTCAAAAAGGCAAACTACAAAGTGCTACATGTAAGTGCTATATAAGTGCTACAATATATATATATTTAATTTTTTTCCCGTATTGGTTGCTAGTTATCATCTTCATCACCAAGGTGTGGTTGGAAGAGATGTGTCTGATGTGCGGTGGAAGATGTGTGGACTTCATTCTGTCCTGGTCTCAATGGGAAGCTCGTTCCACCATTTAGGAGCGAGGAAAGCAAACAGTCGTGATTTTGTTTGGTGGTTTGCACACATGAGGGAGCAGCAAGCTGAAGGGCAGATGCAGAGTGGACGGGCTGGGGTGTAAGGTTTCACCATGTCCTGGATGTAGACTGGACCCGATCTGTTTACAGCACTGTACGCAAGTGCTAGTGTTTTGCAGGCAGCCACTGGTAACCAGTGAAGGGAGCGGAGGAGTGGAGTAGTGTGAGTGAATTTAGGTGAGTTAAAGACCAGTCGAGCTGCTGCATTCTGGATGAGCTGCAGCGGTCGGATAGCACTAGCGTGTAGACCAGCCAGGAGGGAGTTGCAGTAGTCTAGGCGTGAGATGACCAGAGTCTGGACCAGAACCTGTGCCGCCTTCTGAGTGAGAAGGGGATGTATTCTCCTGATGTTGTGCAGCATGTACTGTATCTACACGAGCGGGTTGTTGCAGTAATGTTGGCAGTAAGGGAGAGTTGACTGTTGAGTGTAACACCCAGGTTCCTAGCAGTCTGGGTGGGGGTTACTATGGAGTTGTCAAAGGTAATAGTCAGTTCATGGGTGGATGAGCCTTTACTGGAAGGAAACGTTGTTTGTTCTTGTCAAGGTTAATTTTCAGGTATTGCTCCTACATCTATCTGTTTTCTGTAGTTATAGTGAATGAATATGCAAGACTGTAATGGATATTCTGCCGCTGCAGGAGGGGTCAAGCTCCTGTATATTACAAAATGGAATAAACAACAAAAGAATGATATTATTATCAGTTTCAGTCCAACTCTTATGAATTCCTGGTGTAAGAGAATCAACTGAAGCTCTTTTGAAGGAGACATTACAACATAGTCCAGGACTTAGAGTACCTGTGATATTCATCCCTCCTTGTGTCCTCATCACTGTCTTAGTCTGCTTCATGCTCATTTACTATATTTGGTCAGTAAAAGTCACACTCAAGACTTTTGGGAACAGTTTGTGAATGGTAGACGGTTGAGGTTTGTTTTAATTGTTCCCTTGCTCTGCTCCACTGAGTGCAATAAATGTCTTAGTGTTTCAGACTCTCATTAGCTGCTTAACCCACTTACTGCAAAACACTCCAGACTGTTCACGGGTGCACACAGTGTGTGTGAGTGAGTCACATTCAGCACCTGACTGTGACTTCTCTTTTCTCCACTTAAGCATTTCAGCTGGTCTGTCTGTGTGTCTATATGTGGGTGACTGACTCACTGTGTTTGGGATGTGTAGAGGGACATAAAAGAAGTTTTTTTACTACACACACACGCACACTGGTTGATGCTTGTTTCTGTTCGATTGCTGGTCCTCCCTTCTTCATTCAGTCCTCCTCCATGATCTCCTTTTTACTACTTTCTCACCATGTTGCTATTCACTTGATCTCTGGGAAATGACTTTTCTTGGAGTTTGGTTAAATGTTATTGTATTTTTGGACACAGGGTTTCCTCTGTTTTAAGACAGAAAAATACTCTTATTGCTTTTATACCTTTTTCTCTTTTCTTAGTCAAAATACTCAATGTTCTTCAGCAGTTCATACTAACATCTGGGTCTGTCATGATAAATAATAGATTGTAATAATACTATGCATTCGTCACATGTGGGCTCAATCCAGGTTTGTTTATCTTATCCTGGCTTTTTTTGTCTCCACTTCTCTGTTTCCTTTCTTCTTTGTTTTTCCCTTTTTTTCTGAATGTGACATCATTACACACTACTTTAGCTGGAATGTGCCGTAACTCCGCCTCTACTCCTCCTCCTCCTCCTGTCCTCCGCATTGTTTGGCTGAGACTGCTGAAGAAAGTTGATCTCTTCAGTCCTGACTCTTTTTCCTATTTATTAGAGACTGAAACCTTTTCTTTTAACATTTGTAGTTTTTGTGTGCGTGTCTTTGTCTGCTGCCATAAAAACAGAGGAGTGCCTGAAAGGAACTGGAAACTTTCAGGTAAGGTTGTGTGTGTGTGTGTGAGCTGTAGGACAGCGTTGTGAAAGAATATTATGTGTCTGTATCTGTGCCTTCTTGTCGATATGCTCTGTGAAGAATGCGAGCAATAATGTGTGTTTTTCTGGGGGGAAGGTATGTGTGCGAACGCAGGAATCTCTGTCAGTGGACTTTGGATCGGTGACAGTTTAGATCTCAGTGGAGTTGAACAAACCCAGGTTTAAGTGTGTGGCTTGTAATGAGACTGTAGCTCTGTTAGTGGGTGCACATTAGAGTTATTGTTTGTCAGCATGTATGGTTTCACTGGAGTAGGCTGATATGTTAATTTGCACATTAATGTGTGTGTAGGCATGTTATGTGAATTTCTGGCTTGTGTGGCTGTAGATGTAGATACAGACTCACCTCTGTCAATGAACGTCATTGCTTTTTTCCCCTTCATCTGTCTCTTTGCTGCCTTTCTTTCCTCTTTTGCAACAACTGATACTACAATTTATGAATTGGGTTTTTAAATGTTTTATGCAAGAACACCGTCATTACCTTTCAAACTCAACTTAAATTTTGTTTGGAAGGATCTAGACTGTAAATGTTTTGTTACTTTGTGTGATAGGAATAATAATGAGCCTTCTTCCTTCTTTCTCCATTGATTTATTACATATCATTTATATTAAACCTTTTTTTTAAAGACTTTTTATTGACATCTCAAAGTGCTTGAAGTGATTTTATGTTATAAGAGGGAGATGTAACCAAAACCTACTGGGTGGATGATATAAAAATATTTGACGGAGAATTGTTCAGTTGACAGTGAGTTTATTTAACACAGAGAAAAGTGTTGACAGTTTGAAAGTATGTGTGCAAAGTGTCACAACTCATGTAACAATGTCTTTTTGTTGCGTTTGTTAAAACAAAAATGTCACACACCCATTTTTGTTATTTAGATAAAAATAACAGTGGATAAGGTTAAGGTAAAGTGTCACCCTCTCCTTCCAAACATGAAAAATAAACTGTGGTAACCTTCAGTTGTCATAAAAACTCAAAGGGTGTTTAGTTTGTCCAGTCTGGATTACTGTAAAAAAACATGGCGGCCTCCGTAGAGAGGACCCCCCCCTCAATGTAAATATAAAGTATTTAAATATAAAGGGCCTTTTCTGGGGTAAAGAAAACTACAATTCATACAATTTAGATGAAACGAACTAGTGAAAACATCATGAAGATTATTCTGCATAAAATTTCTACCAATAGATCCCTTTCACCTAAATCTTACACACTGGACCTTTAAATATGTTCCCACTTGGACAGCCACTACCAGACTATTCTAGGTTGTGTGTGCCTTGTCTGTGTTGACTGGGGACAATCAGTATGTTATTGGTGCTTATTATAGCAAAGTAAAATGCTGTGGCTGTAGTAAAACCTCTTTACGGGCTTGTTTTTATGCTTTTAGAGTTTTGGAAAGTGGCCTCTGTAGACAAATTCAACCCTTTTTTCCCCCATTCCCTGCTATTACTCATTCTTTTGTCCCGTCTGTCTTCCCCTTTACAGTCGAGTCCTCTCACTGTGGGATTGTATGTCATGAATGCTTTTCATGTCAACAGGTAGATCTGCTCGAGTCGGGATCTGCTTTCTTGTGCTTTTCTTTTACCCCTTTTTGTCTGTCCTTCTGTTTTCCATGTCATATTCAGTCCTCTCTTTCCCCCTCCTTCATCTGTCTGGATTTTCATTCTCCATCCGTCTCACAGTAAACCATGCCTGGTGAGGTAATGAAAGAACATAATGTAGCTAACAGCTCCTACACATCTGGGTTTAAATATGAACATATGTACACGTATAAAAGTAGAAGTAGTTTTGGCTGGACATTTAACGTACTGTAATATCAAAGTGAACAAAGCAGAATGGGCTGCATGTGTCCACGTCTGTGTCTGTACAAAGTGCATCATGCTGAGGTTGTAGCCAAGTGCAATCAGTCTCTGATTAATGTCCTTCACTGAAACGCTTTCATCTTCCTATCACAATATTTTTCTTTCTCCTGTTTCTCTCATCTGTTTCTTTCCCTCCAGTCGGGTCCAGTGTAACTGCTGAGGCCAGATGGAGGCCTGTGATTTTTAGACACACCCAGATAAAATCTCTCTGTCTCTTTCCCTCTCTCCCTCTCTCTGGGGAAATTGGGTAAGATTCTTGAATTCCCTGCTCTTCTCTCTCCCTCTCTCTTTCTGTTATTACATTACTCCCTGTTTCATAGGCAGCAGATGTTGGAGGGCGTGAGGTCCTCAGACACTCAAACAACCCATTTCCTCATTGTACTTTTCCCTGATTGGTTCACTTGGTCAGAGGGAATGGCTTTGATAAACTACAGGTTATCAAGCTACACACTTGTTGGATCTAGATATCTACACTACACTGTGTCTTTCCCCAAACTGAAGTGTATCAGGCTATGGTAAATCATTGTGGCTATTGTGGACCCATAGGCACTGATGCAAAGTTCTGACTCTGGCTTGAAGTTTAAGACAGTAAACATGGTGTGCATGAATCTTGCACAATTGAATTCATCATGGGGAGGCGTGTGTGTGTGTGTGTGTGTGT